GGGGTGGGCGGCGCTGGCGCCCCCCCGCCGGCGTTGTTCATAAGAACGACCATCGACATAAATTAAGCCACGGTCGATGGCGCTGTCTCTAAGATCTACGATGTTTTTTTCGACAGTGGGCCTCGAAGATCTAAGATGTTTTTCGACAGTGGGCCGCTGGAGTCTTTTTGCGGCCGGTCAACGCGCGCGTGCTCCGATGCACGATGCGCGGAGCTTCTTGCGCACCAGTTTTCGCCTCGCACATTGCATTGCGCCAGGCCGCGCCCTGGTTGCCAGTCTCGCCAGATGCAGCACGAGAGACCCCTCGCAGTCGCAACGAATGCCCTGCCTATGATGCGAACGGCGAGCACTGGATGTGAGAGGAAAGAATCATCCCATGCGTGGTCCATGTGTTCTCACATCTGCTCCAGAGGCGCACTGGCGCATGCCAGAAGCATGCCATGCGCTCCGAAACTAAACAGTGACAGACGCGCGGCGACGATGACAAGGACAGGGATGAGCATCGCCGCTCCTGGGAGAAGACTGCCAAATCATATTCTGTAAATGTAATGTGGTTCGTACGCCCCCCCTCAAGTAAAATGCAGATTCACTGCGCGGCCCCGTTGCACGCGCCCCTCAAGTAAAAATGCATATTCACTGCGCGGCCCCGCCGAAGCACGGCCCAGCACCCCCTGGAAAGGGATGGAAGCGTGTAAAATTGAGCTTTCCCTCGCGCTCTTGTCTCCGCTTCCCTCTCCCGCCTCTCCTTGTCCTGCCTCCTTCGTCCGTCCTCCATCCTTCTCTCGTTCGTGCTCCTCGTAATCCTCCTCCCCCCATCTTGTCCACATCTTCTTCGTCACCATCCGCACGCATCGGCATCATCACCACCACCATCACCAGCAGCACCACCACCATCATCACCATCGTCGTCATCATCATCATCATCATCATCATCATCATCATCGCCATCGTCATCGGGGTGCCGCTCAATCGACATCATCCTCCTCATCATCATCACCAGAACCATCATCAACATCATCTTCATCATCATCGTAGTCGCCATCATCATCATCATCACCATCATCATCATCATCATCATCATCATCATCATCATCATCATCCACCCGCTCTTGGTGACCCCCCGCACCCTGACCAGCATCCCCCTCCTCACACCCTCTTCCGTGCAGGGGTGGATCGCGGGGTATCCAATCTTGGATGCCCTTCAATCGTCACCAGCTTCCTCTTTTTCGTCACCCCCCGCACCCTCACCAACATCCCCCTCCTCGCCCCCTCATCCGTGCAGAAATGGATCGAGGGCATGTCAAAAATGGACGCCTGTCAATAGTAATCGCCATCATCACCAGAAACATTATCAGCATCATTGTCATCTCCATCATCATCATCATCACCACCATCAGTATCATCATCATCGCCGTCATCAGCATCATCATCCACCTCTTTTTCGTCACCAGCCGCACCCTCTTCAACATCACCGTCCTCGCCCACGTCTTCGTGGTCCACAGTAATCGCCTCCTTGGCCTCCTCTTCCTTCTTGTGATCCTCATCCTCCGGATCGCCATCGTCGTCGCCATCGCCATCGGCATCGTCAGCACCGCCATTGTCGCCATATCCCCCCCTTTCCATCTCCTCCCCCCTCCCCGCCGCTCCTCCTCTCTCCCCCCTCCCCCCCTTTCCTTGCCCCTTCCCCCCCCACTCCCCCAATCTGCAAAGCTGACCGCGTGCAGCGGCGACGAGGGGCCTCGACTCAGCTTTGCACTACAGGGGGAGGGGGAGGGGAGGGGGAGGGTGGAGGATGATGCCGACGATGGTGGTGGGGGTGTTGACGACGATATTCCCGACGGCTAGTGTTTCAAGTGTGCTGGGCAAATCGCAAGGCGAGGATAGGGACAAACATCCGTGGATGCACGTACTCACAGGATGGTCGTTATTGTAGTGGCCTTCGGCCAGTGCCGCCGATCTGGGTCGCTCGGATACACATATTACGCGGACACCTCACGCACGCACACGACCAAATGCACATACGGCAGACACACATACAGAGACACACTAGGCGCACGCCAGACACTAGCACGCACAGACATTCGCAGACACGCACCACACACAGACACTCGCACAGGAGCCTGTCAGGGCGTCGAGGGGGCTTCTTGGGGGCTTTTGGGGGCCCTCTTGGGGGCTCTTGGGGCCTCCTGGGGGCCTCGTGGGCTGGAAGGCCAGATTTTTTCCGCTTTTCGTCCCTCTTTTGGGTCCTCTCGGGGCCGTCTTGGGGGCCTCTTGGGCCGTCTTGGGTAGCTTTTGGGCCGCCTTGGGGCCCTCTTGGGCTGTCTTGGGACTGTCTGGGGGCCTCCTGGGCCGTCTTCGAGCGGTCTTGGGGGCCTCCTGGGCCGTCTTGGAGCGTCGGAAAGCAGAAAAAAGCGACAACCCCAAAAACATGAAAAAACAATGGCAATCAACGATTTTTGCCTCTGGGGGCCCTCGTGGGAGGCCTCTTGGAGTCCTCTTCAGACGTCTTGGAAGGCTCTTGGGCCGTCTTGGGGCCATCTTGGGCGTGTTCGGGCAATCTTTCGGGGTCTCGGGACTTTCGTAGACCGTCCTAAGAGACTTTTGCGGCCGCGGCCACCCTTGTAGCGCATCCTCGATTTTAGAATTTTAGAGCCTTCTGTAAAAGCAGCCCCCCCGCATCCGCCGGAAACTCGCACCCCCCCCCCATCCCCCCTTCCCCGACAGAGCCACCCGGCAACCCCCCCAGAGGCTGAGGCTCAGCCTCGAGGCTGTAGCTGAGACTCCTTGAAACTCACACGCCGGATCGGCGGATTTTCAACAACACCGGCAGTCCGCCTGCCGAGCAGTGGCCGGGAAGGGGCCCTCCGCGGTGATCTCGGCAGTCGCCGTCCCGCCTTGTCCGCGCAACTTGTACGTCCCAGTGGAGGAGGGGTACGCGCCGTACCAGAAGCCCCCACCACATTGGAGCTCGGTGAAGACGTCGTACGGGACTACCCCCAAGAGCAGTCTGACTTTCGTCCGATTACCGTGACCGAGCTGCAGACGGCCCTCTCGGACATGAAGATCTGTATCCACACGCATCAGACGTCGAACGAAAGGGTGTGGCCTTCGGTCCAGGCGCTGCTCAACCGGAGCGCCACCGAGGCACGGCCTCGACCGCGGCGTGTCGCATTCTGTTTGTCGGGCCCGTCCCTTGTCGCGCCTGTCGCCTCTCAGTGACCACGGAGGCTCTGGCCTCGGCCATGGTCCGCCTGCCGCGCAGCTTCGCCTCCACCCGGCGGAGCCCTGGCCATGCTGTGGGCGCGGCTCCTCGGGCAGTTCGGGCGCCTGCGGGGGGGCCGCCCGCCTGGGGGCCTCTGGGCACTGACCGCCCTCCTCGGAACCAGCGCGCGCCGCCGGCCAAGGCGCCGGCATCGATCGCTGCACGTCGCTGTCGCCAGTTGCCCAAGGCCTGCCCTGACCAGGCCCAAGGTGCAGCTGGAGGTGTCCCCCTCCTCCTCCCCCCTCTTCACCCTTCCCCTTCCCCTTGTTCCCCCTCCTCCGACTCCTTCCCAATCCTCGACCACCCGATTCCTCCTGCTCCTGGTGCTCCAGCTGCTCGGAAGTGCTCCTGCCCGACGTCGCCGACGCGGCGTGTCATCCCGGCGGGCGCGGAGCAGCACCTGGGAGCAGGAGGGGGCGAAGGCACCGCTTGCCAGAGCGACCCGGCGCGCGGGGCGCAGTGGGCGGCACTCCATCGCGGTGCCTTCCGCGGTGGTTGTCGAGGCCTCCCGCCCCCAAAAAAGAGATCGTGATCGTGGGCGTTGGCTCTGAGGAGGAGGAGGAGGAGGAGGAGGAGGAGGCCAACATCGTCCACACTGACAGCCGCAGCGACAAAGCGAGGCGCGCCGCACCTTCGGGCCGGGCGCGACAGTCCGAGGCTGGTTGGGCGCAGACCTGGCACATTGCAGTCGGCAAGGCAGCAGGATTTGAGCTTTCAAGGCGGTGGAGCCGAAGTACACATGCCTTCTCTGCCGCAGGTGGCACTCGACGGCGTACAGCCAGCGGGGAGACATTGCTGTTTCTAAGCATCCGGGGACTGTGCGCACGCCACAAACCACAACACACGGCTGGGAACTTTTTTGGTCCGCGTGCCGCCTCGCGGGCTCCAGCCCAACACGATTCGGCGCGACACGCGATCCCCGGCCCAGTCACCAAGCGTCATTGTCCCGAGCCTTTCCCAGCATCCCGCCCCGCGGAGCGGAGTGACACGCTATCCACTTGCAGGGCATAGCGTGTCGCCGGGGCCGCCCTGGCGACTCGCTGAGCAGAAGTCCCCGACCGCATGTGCTTGGGAGGAGCACGGCACAGACAGCGCAGAGAGCGCAGGGCTTGCAGCTACCGCCACGTTTTGCCGAGCCCGCCTGCATGGTGATTCGTGACCGCCGGCACCGTGCCCACCGCGCCTTCGCCTGCACGGCGCCCGAGCAGCCCCCACAGCAGCGCATCGGCCAGCACAGCGTACATCGAACGCCAACTTGGAAAATGCAAGAATTGCAGATGCAACCCCAGATTGACTAAGAACCTACCGTAGAGTGTGGAGAGGACTATGAATGCCGACATCCCGTTGCGAGCCGAGCTTCCAACGGAAGCATGCACAAGAGGCCAAAGTAGACGGTGCACACGTGTGGGCTTCGCAATTGCTGGCCGGAAAAGAGAAAGAGAGAGAGAGAGAGAGAGAGAATAATTAAACAACTAACAACACACAAGCAAGTCTTGTTGCCATTGGGGTGCCAGATCCCTTCTACTGGGTGAGGGAAAGAAGGAAAAGGAAGAGGGAGGGAGACGAGGGAGACAGGGACAAGGAGACAGACAGGGAGAGACGGAGAAGGTAAATCACAGGAGGAGAATGAGGAGCAGGCGGAAGAGCAGGATCAGGAACAACAGGAACAGCAGGGATGAGGAGGAGGAGGAGGAGGAGGAGGAGGAGGAAGGCAAAAGCCGCGCCAAGCATCACCGAGGCGCCCCCGCCGCCGCCGCCGAGCGAGTGCACGCCAAAGGTCGAGGGCCAGTGCGAGCTGCCCCGCATCATGGCACACCTGGGTGCCAGTCTGGGGGGGGAACCCGGGAGCGGGCAAGGCACGCAAGGAAGAGGTGGCGAGGAGGAGACCCCGGAGATCTGGGCGTTGCATTTTTTTCACACAGAGCGTTTTCGCCCAGCTTCGGGTTGCCATCACAGATCGAACCCACTCGACAAATGCCGCGCTAAAATGGGACCCAGGGCTCTAGTCGTTATTCTTCTGTTGCTGCACTTTTTTCACGACGCCGGTTCTCAGGGAAGATCGACGACGACGCAGACGAGGACGAGGACGAGTCGGACGAGAAGGAGTGGATGGCTCTGCAAAAGAAGCAGGAGCACGAAAGCTCCCTTCCAGTGCAGCGTGGGGGGGGGCCTCACACTTAGCGGTGCTTCACGGACGCGCCGCAAAGATCCCACATTCGTGGTGGTGCTGAAAGGGAGGAGCTGGGAGGAGGACGAGGTTGGACAAGGGCTGGAATGTGAGAAGCAAGTCGCTGCCGCGAAGCGGCCTTGTCCTTTTCCAAAACGCCCCGCAGTTCCTTACCATGCTCCCCACGGCCACCCTGCAAAATTCTCTGCGTCTGCGCCAGAGCTGCACAACTAGCCAACAGTTCCTCCTTCTCCTCCTCCTTCTCGTCCCCCTCCTCCTCGTCCTCCTCCTCCTCGTCCTCCTCCTCCAGCTCCTGCTCCTCCTCCTCCTACTCCTGCTCCTCTTCCTCATCCTCCTCCTCTTCCTCCCCCTCCTATGATTACGTACTACTACTACTACTACTACTACTACTACTACTACTACTACTACTACTACTACTACTACTACTACTACTACTACTACCACTTCTACTTCTACTTCTACTTCTACTTCTACTTCTACTTCTACTACTACTACTACTACGACTACTACTACTACTACTACTACTACTACTACTACTACTACTTACTACTACTACTGCCTGCTGCTGCTGCTGCTGCTGCTGCTGCTGCTGCTGCTGCTGCTACTACTACTGCGACTACGACAACGACTACGACTACGACTACGGCTACTACTACTACTACTACTACTACTACTACTACTGCTACTACTACTACTACTACTACTACTACTACTACTTACTACTACTACTACTACTACTAACTACTACTACTACTACTACTACTTACTACTACTACGACATACTACTACTACTACTACTACTACTACTACTACCTACTACACTACTACTACTACTACTACTACTACTACTACTACTACTACTACTACTACGACTACTACTACTACTACTACTACTACTACTACTACTACTACTACTACTACTACTACTACTACTACTACTACTACTACTACTACTACTACTACTACTACTACTACTACTACTACTACTACTACTACTACTACTACTACTACTACTACTACTACTACTACTAACTACTACCTACTACTACTACTACTACTACTACTACTACTACTACTACTACTACTACTACTACTACTACTACTACTACTACTACTACTACTACTACTACTACTACTACTACTACTACTACTACTACTACTACTACTACTACTACTACTACTACTACTACTACTACTACTACTACTACTACTACTACTACTACTACTACACTACTACTACTACTACTACTACTACTACTACTACTACTACTCTACTACTACTACTACTACTACTACTACTACTACTACTACTACTACTACTACTACTACTACTACTACTACTACTACTACTACTACTACTACTACTACTACTACTACTACTACTACTACTACTACTACTACTACTACGACTACTACTACTACTACTACTACTACTACTGCTACTACTACTACTACTACGATTCTGACTACTACTACGACTACTTACTACGACTACTACTACTACTACTACTACTACTACTACTACTACTACTACTACTACTACTACTACTACTACTACTACTTGTACTACGACTACTACTACTACTACTACTACTACTACTACTACTACTACTACTACTACTACTACTACTACTACTACTACTACTACTACTACTACTACTACTACTACTACTACTACTACTACTACTACTACTACTACTACTACTACTACTACTACTACTACTACTACTACTACTACTACTACTACTACTACTACTACTACTACTACTACTACTATTACTACTACTACGACGGCTACTCCTACTATTACGATTACGACTACTACTACGACTACTACTACGACTACTTTTACTTCTGCCCTCCTTTTCCTCTCTTACCCTTTCCCCCTTTCTGACAGACAGGAGCACCACAGCCATTTTGGCTATGGGGCGCGCACGTGCCGAGGAGCGTCTCGCGCCCGAGTGTTCTTGAGGATTGGTGAAAATATCGCTCTCCTTGCACAGCGTTGTTCTGTCACCCCGATGCATGCTGTCAGTGGTAGCCGGAGCGTGGACGGGGCCGCGACGGGTGATGAGAATGTGGATTCGCCAGTTCGTGAGGGCATCCAGGACGCGCGAGGCTCTCGCGGCCAGGGCGCTCATGACGACCCGTGATAGACAGCATCGGCGCCGGAGACGGGCGAGGGCGATGCGGCTGCAGCTGCAGGCCAAGTTCCAGGCCATTCGACATCAGTGTGACGACGAGGACGGACTGCAGAGAGTCATTGATCATTCGAGGCTCCTCAATCGAGAGCGCCCAGGAGACAAAGAGCGCGAGGCGCACAATGAGGCGCTCTTCGATTATGCTACCAAGAAGGGCGAGACTCTGACCGACTACGTGGTGAGAAGGGACCAGCTGATTGCTGGCGCGGAGCGCTTCGGGCCCACGCTGCCAGACACGGTGAAGGCCAAACATTTTTATGAAGAAGGAGCGAAGCTCACGTCCCAGATGGCCGTCAACCTTCGGACGCTGATGGGCGGCAAGAAGAGCGTCGAGGCGGAGCGGTCCGCTCTGCTGGAAATTGACATAGCCGAGAAGCCGACGCTGCCCGAGCAGCAGTCCACCGGACAGTCGAGGACCTTCGCGACGACGATCAGAGAGGATGACGAGTACGAGAGTCAGGCATGCGACGATGGAGATTGTTTCGGATTTTTCGAGGTGGAATTTGATGAAGGCGAGTTTGCCACGATTTTGGTTTCGCTCGACGCGCAAGATCTCTCTGAGGAACACATCGTTGACGCATTCGCAGAAGTTACCCCACCTCGTAGACGAAAAACATGGGCAGAGGCAAGACTGATGCAGACTGCTAAGAAAGTGGATCGGGACTTCTCCGACCGTCGGAAGCAGGGCGCGAGAAAGGTCACGCGTGATGATTTCAAGAAGAGATCGAGATGTTCCGATTGCGGTGAGAAGGGGCACTGGAGAGAGGACTGTCGCAAACCGTGCAGGAGCAATACCGATCGCCTGAAAGTAGAAGCACCTCGACCGACTCAAGATCGAAAGCCAAGCCAGTCTTCCTATTTCACGTTGGACCAGGATCCGGACGTTCATTCTGGCAGTTCCTGGGCGGTCTTAGTTGACGAGGGTGGCGAGGCGCGCCCCCGTCAGACCCGAGTCGATCACGGCTCTCGGTTTCGACCTTGGCCCGGGCCAGGTGGGCCAGGACCAGGTTTCGTTGCTCGACGCCGCCGCCCTGCAGGACATGGACGTGCACGCGTTCGTGGACATTGCTGCTGGGCAGGCGCCGGTGGGCGCGCCGGACGTGGGGCGCATGACGCAGGCGTTCGAGAAGCTAGGGTTCGTGGCTCACATCATTCGCGACGGCGACAAGTTGCCAGCAGCCAACGGAGTCGGCGGAAAGGCGAAGCCAGTGGGACGAGCCATCGTGCCTATGTCTCTGTACGGCTGCGGCGTGATGGAGTTTCTCATGCTGCTTCATCCCTGTCCACCTCTGCTTCCAGCTCGGTTCTTGGAGTTTCTGCGTTCCGTGATCGACCCAAGGGCCAACGCGATGACGATGGGCTCTGAGGACTCACGGCGCACGGTCGGTCTACTGCGACTTCGATCGGGACATCGAGCAGTGTCCACGGTGGGCCGCAAGCCTTCCGAGTTCGAGTTTGACAACGAGATATCAGCCAAGCTTCCCTCTTTCGTCAAGGAGCCTACTGGAGCATGGGTAGAGTAAAGCCCAGCGCTCCAGGACTGCTGGTCACTCGCAGGTAGAGCTCCCCGACGAGTGCACGGGAGGCCGCGTCGAGAGGCCTTCTGGAGTCGGCGTGAATCAGACCGGTCAGGGCAACATCGTCTGCCAGTACCTGGACGACGCGAGCAGCAGCTGCCGGGCCATGGGCTGCGACTGGGAGCGCGGCGCCCCTGTCACGAAGATCAAGTTCGAGGGGCGTTGGGTCGGGCACGCGGAGTTCCAGATCGCGAGTCCTCCTCAGGACTCGGGGGCTCGGGGGGGAGGGTGCTTGCAGTTAGGGCAGGGGCGCCTGTGCTCAGCAGGTTTCACCTCGTCTCCTTCTTCCCCCATTCGCCTTTCAGGACAGCGGGAACCTCGGTTGGGGACTTCTCAGGACTCTGGAACTAGTCAAGCCTCCGTGGAACATCCCGGCTCAAGTCTCGGTAGCAGTCAGCTACTTCCAGCTTTCGGCCGGTCTGGCGGTCAACTCCCGACGACTATTCAACCGCGGCCCGAGCACGGCGCTCGAGATGCCGGCGGGCCAGAAAATCAAGGTGATCAAGAGCAGGAGCGCTCGTTCGTTGAGGGGCATGGGGGCAGCTACGCTCACGGGTCTTCGCGACGATCACGATCCGGATCTCGACGCGATCCCGGAGTCGGAGGGCATGGAGACGGACGATTCGGAGCCTGCAGCGAGCTGGGACCAGACGCCGGATCTTTGGGTCGATTGGGAGCTCCGGCTGAACTACGAGGAGGAGGAGGACATGACCGCGGTGGAGAAGGAGCTGTTCCTGCAGGGGGGCTTCATCCTCAAACCGCTGGCTCGGGTCTGGCGCAAGTGGGCGATCAAGCTGATGGCGCCCCTGCGCGCGCTGTCGGCGACGCGCCTGCTCGCGGCGGTGGCGCCCGGACTGATCTTCGACAAGAAGCTCGGCGTGACGGGCGAGGACGGCCAGGGGAGCTGCTCCCACCCACTTTCGGCTCGCTGGAAGGGCGGGAACAAGCGAGGGCACTGCTCGAAGTGCCGCGCGCGCGACAAGAGGTTGTCGTTCGTTCGGAAGACGAAGGAGGAGATCGAGGAGGCTCGCATCAAGGCCGTGGCTCAGAAGGAGGAGCGCCGCAACAAGTACCTCATGAAGGACGAGCCTCCGGCGGGGATGGCCGAGCTGGTCGAACCTCCTCAGGTGCCGAGGCATACTCGATACCAGGCCCCGTCAGCCTACGCGATACACGCGGGCGCGACCCCGGCGAAGCCTCCACGCACCACGGCTCGGAACTCCGCTCCAGCATCCGAGAAGGCGACCTTGGAGAGGGCGAGCGGTTCCCGCGGCAGCGGGGGCGCGGGCAGCAGCGCAGGCGAGATCAAGCAGAGCTTCGAGACCATGCAGCGGATGATGGTGGAGGACCGCAAGGAGCGCGCTCAGCAGATGGACGTGCTGATCGAGGTGGTGAGGAGCCTTGGGGCGATTCGCCCGGCGGCTGCTCCCGAGGCGCGATCGACCCTCGGCCAGGTGCGTCCGCGGAGGACGCCGCTCGACCGCAGCAGGTGTTCACAGCTGCCAGCCTGTCGCCAGCGGCCGAGACGCCCTCCCGAAGCGCTCGGAACGCCGCGGGCTCCAGGCGCGCGTTCAAATGGGAGTGCCAGAAGGGATCGGGCGGCAACGCCGCCGGGATCGCCCGGCGCCGCGAGGCGCTGGGGGGCTTCCGCGACACGGGCGCCAGAGCCTTGGAGCCGTTCGCCCGCGCGGCAAAGCGGGCGCCTCAGCGCACTCTGTCCTCATAGGCGGCTTGTAGCTTGGATTGGGTGCACGTCGCCGTGGACGTCGAGAAATCGCTCCTGCAGGGCATGACCCATGCCGAGATGCAGGGGCAGGGCGAAGCACCAAGGGAGGCAAGCATCACCCTGCCGCCCAGCCGCGCGGCCATCCTCAGGCAAGTCCGAGGCCACGAGTCCGTCGACGAGCGGACCGAGCGCCTGCGCTGCATCAAACCGGGCACGGGCTGCAAGGATGCGCCCAGGGTTCTCCCAGCGAAACTCGCCAGAACCACGCGCTCGCCCGAGCGCGTCACCGAGCCGACGCGGTGGAGCCCAGAGCTCGAGGTCAAGCACGAGGCATCTGGCACCTGTGGCGCCAGCGTCTCAGAGTTAGTGCTCTGGCTGTTCAATCGCGCCGACGATCTAAAGGTCGCAGGGCGCGAGGGGCGCGTCGACCGACTCATCGGCCACGTCGAGAGCGTCTTCGACAAGATGAAAGGGACCACGACGAGTTCACAAACTGTGGACTCCACCAACACCGCAGTGCCGATGGCACAGTGACCCTTGACCACGGCGAGTATAACGACGCGCCGAGCCCCATCGGGCACGTCGACCTGGTCGAATCGAAGGCCGACGAGCCGGCCGGAGGTCTGCTGCGGGACCTCTTTGTCTCCCACCTCGGAGCAGCCGCTTATGCGCTGCTCGCGCAACTCCGCGTCGCCGTCTACGTCGTCGCGCTGCAACGGGCCGGGAACGAGCTGCCCATCAGACGCACTATGCAGCTCAATTCTTCTTTTCTGACTAGGAAGATCAAAGCGCGCATCGTCGTCGCGGAGATGGAGCGCGCCAGCCACATCTGCGCGCTCAGCGACAGCTCGTTCAAGCGTTAGGAGGCGACTGGTACGGCGCGCGTGGCGCCGAATACAGACGTCTGGGCAAGTGTCGCAGCGCTAGCAAACAGTTCTGCCACTCGCTCGACGTTGCGGGCCGATCGCGCAATCTTGCGCGTAGATCCTCATTCGGCCCCGAGCTGCTTGCAGCATATGGAGCAGCAGGCGGCCCACAGGCGGGCCTTCCCGCGCTCCACGCGATGGCACGCGGACCCGCTTCAGCAGATGAGATCAGGAGGCTGATGCGGGAGGGAGGTTACGCTGTGTCGGCCGAGCTGGTTTTGGACGGCATGTCCGTCTTCTCCAAACTGGCCATGGACTATGCGCGGCCGCCGTCATAGAAGAGCATGGCAGGCCACCTGCGGTGGCTATCAGACCAGCTGCGCACCATACAGTTATCCGACATGCTGGGGTGCGACACCCGCGACATGATGAAGGCCGACCCCATGACGAAGGCGAGCATCGATCGGGAGCTCATTTCTTGGTTTCATGAATGGGGAGTTCGTCTACGCATGCTCCACGGCGCGGGCGAGCGAGGAGCGTCACAAGAAGACGGTGCCGAGCTCCAGTTCGTGAGTGCGACGCAGTACATGAGGGAGAGAAGTGCGAAGAAACCCGCGCGTCAGGAACTATGTTGGCGAATGCGACGTAGCGATCCATATCAGTGAGGGGCTGTCTCCATGAACTATATTCGTGGGGCAGCAGGCCGTTGCGCGTGGTGCACTGGAATAGTCGATTGTGTGCTCCACCAAGAGTCTGCTGCCAGTCTTTCTGTTTGCTCGCCACCGGAATCTGTCATGGGGGACCTGCTTAACAGAAGGTCCTCATACAGTGCAAAGTTATATGAAAAGGGTTACTTTTTCGTAAAACCCCTTCTTTGCCCTGCTCCTCATTGTAAGTATTGAGTGTGGCCAGTCTGTCGGGTCTCGGCGGTAGTCTGGATGGCTTGCGTCCCAGCTGCCAGCGATGTACGGCGGGTTTGCTCGAACACCAGAGTCGAACTGTCGGTCATGTTTTGCTTTGAGCATGTTAGCAGGGCAGCAGCGTTGTGCATGCAGGGTGCGGGAGGGCCTTGCTCTGTCTGAAATTTGGGCTTAAGGGAGCCCTTACCGCGCCCGCTTCATGCGCTTGCTACCATGGCATCTCTACAATGTTTTCTGCTGCACATCCTTCCGTTAACATGTTGTTCATCGTTCTACATGTTTGTCTCCTCCTCCTTGTCATCTATTCATTTTTTGTTCACTCCTCCTCCTCCAACTTTCTCACTCCCCCTCCACTCACTTCTCCTCCTTTTCCTCTTGTTCTCATTTCTCCTCCTTGCTTACTCCTCCTCCTCCTCCTCCTCCTTTTCCTCCTCCTCTTCCTCTTCCTCCTCCTTGCTCATTTTTCTTCCTCCTCCTCCTTTTCCTCCTCCTCCTCATCGTCATCATCATCATCATCATCATCATCATCATCATCATCATCATCATCATCATCATTCGTTTCCTCCCCCTCCTCTTCCTCTGTGTTGTTGGACGAGTTTCGGCATCCAGGATCGTAGCGGCCGAACCTCCACTTCCCCTTTCCGCGGTTGCACATTACGAATGGTCCTCCCATCTCTCCCCTGATTTTGCGCCGGAGATGCCCAGTCATCTCCGCATATCGTTCTTGTACACGCAGGGTTTCAACGTTATGGTTCGTTATAATGTTTCGCTGTCGCCCCAGCGCGGGCCACTTTTCTGGATCCAAGTTTTTTGGTTTCATCGTTGTCTCCCCACGTATGTTTGGTCATCCGCCTACCCCTTGGTCTTCCTGCCCATCCCGTTCAGTCCACTCCACTTATTAGTGTTGTTGTTCGTCCTCGTATTCCTCTTTCCACAGATTCCTTCCTTTCTTCCTGCTCATCCTCCTGGTCGCATGCCACCTCATCCTGCTCCTATGTACACAGATCCCCTTTTCCGATTGCGCATAGTACGATGGTGCATTGGTGTTGGAGTTCCAGGTCGGATATGACACACGTCTGCGGATAGAGAAAAGTCAGCGCAATGGGAAAGGGATGTGATGAGGGATGGATATGATGTCAGATGTGGCGCGAGCGCACCTAGCTTGTCCTTTTCCTTGCTCGCTCCTCCTCATTGTCATCTTCCATCCTTGTGTCCGTCTTCCTTGCACATGCCTCTTCCTTGTCGCACCGCCGGGCGTGTCGTCAGGGCGGGTGGGTCGTATCGCCGGAGGCGCCCGCACCGTGCATGACAGCTTCACGGATGGGGAGCGGGTCGTTTTGAACACGTGGTTGTTGGTCGCTCTCGTTCTCTGGCGCCGCGCACATGCGTCAAAAACGCTTGCAACAATTCCGCGGGGGTGGGGGCGGGCCAGTTTCAGCATGTGGTTCTTTTCTTGGTGCCGCGCACATACGCCGCAAGCGTTTCCAATGGTTTCACGGGTGTTTCAAACCGTGCGGTTCTCGCCCCAGCTGCGCGCACGCTCGTCTTGAAAGTTCACAGTGTTCTGGCACGGCTCAGCCTTGACACGGGGCAACAGTCACTGTGATTCGTTGTGTTGCAATCTCAGGAACTGTGCCCTGGTACGGTTTAGGATTGTCAGGACGCACCAGGCACGTGGACTCCCTGCGCGGAAGTCCTAGAACTGGTGTTCTGGAACGGCTGAATTTTTCGGACGGTCTCTTTCCAATGAGTGGGGGCAGTCGTTGCACGCGAAGATCCATCGCAGGGACATGTGAAGACGGAATTTGGGGGGAGGGGGGAGGGTGTATTGCAACATCGCTGGTGCGTCTTGGGTCTGCATTGGTCTTCCTCCTCGTGGGAGGGGAGAGGGGGGGGGGAGGGGGAAGGCGGCGGCGGTGGCGGCAGCCGCGGCGGCGGCGGCGGCAGCCGCGGCGGCGGCGGCGGCAGCGGCGGCGGCGGCGGCGGCAGCCGCGGCCTGCAGGCGCCTCGGAGCCGCTGGCCTGCGTGTGCCCGCCCCCCCTGGTGCCGCACAAGAACGACAGCTGCAACGAGTGCTTGCCCGCAGAGGGGCCACTGCAGGCCGAGCGGAGGCGGAGGAGGAGGGGTGGGCATGGGGAGGGGGATGGTGCTAGGGCCAGTGCTGGTGATGACGATGATGCTGATGATGTTGAATGGTGATGATGATGATGATGATGGTGATGATGATGAGGATGATGATGATGATGATGATGATGATGATGATGATGATGATGATGGTGATGGTGATGGTGATGATGATGATGCTGATGACGGTGATGGTGATGGTGATGGTGATGCTGAGATGGTGATGGTAATGGTGATGGTGATGATAATGGTGATGGTGATGATGAAAGTGATGGTGATGATGATGGTGATGATGATGCTGATGATGATGTCGATGGTGATGATGATACTGATGATGGTGCTGCTGATGATGCTGATGATTACGATAATGGTGGTGATGATGGCTTTGATGGTGATGATGATGGTTATGATGAGGGTCACGGCGATGGTGATGCTGGTGATGGTGATGGTGACGATGATGGTGTTGATGACGGTGATGGCGACGACAACGCCCACCTGAGCGATGGCGATGATGATTGATGATGATGATGAGGAGGAGGAGGAGGAGGATGTTGAGGATGTTGTTGATCATGATGACGGTGATGATGATGTTGGATGTGGTGGTGGTGAACATGGTGGTGGTGATGATCAAAATGCTGTTGATTTGACGACGTTGCTGATGATGGTGATGATGGTGGTGATTGTGATGGTGATGATGGTGATGCTTGCGATGATGATGATGATAATTGCGATGATGATGATGATGATCATGATGATGATGATAATGATGATGATGATGATGATGATGATGCTGATGATGATGATGATGATGATCATGGTGATGGTGAATGTGATGGTGATGGTGATGGTGATGGTGATGGTAATGATGGTGATGATGATGGTGATCATGATGATACTACTAGTGGTGATGGTCATGGTGATGGTCATGGTCATTGTCATTGTCATGGTGATGATGGTGGTGATGGTGAGTGTGGTGATAATGCGGAGGAAGAGGACGAGGAGGACGACCACGATGAGGATGATGATGCTGATGCTGATGCTGATCACGATGGCGATGATGATTATGATGGTGGTGGTGATTATGGTGGTGATTGTGATGGTGATGGTGGTGGTGGTCTTGGTGTTGGCGATGGTGATGGAGATAGTGATGATGGTGGTGATGATGCGCATGGCGATGATAATGGTGGTGATGATGAAGGCGCGGCTGGATGCGCTAGGAGTGGCGAATGGGCGATGCCTGAGCAGCTGGTGTCTCCCGTCGGAGTTCTCGCTCGAGAGGTGGGAGGGGGAGGCTGATGCCTACAGAATTCAAGCGCTGCTGGCGACGACAAGGGAATACTGAGAGCACGCCTGCGGGAGGAGGAGGAGGAGGAGGCGGAGGAGGAGGAGGAGGAGGACGACGACGACGAGAAAGAGTTGGAGGGAGAGGTGGAAGGAGGGAATGGGAGGAGGGAGACGAATGCTCGATGCTTCGCATATCGCCAAAAGCATCTCCAGGAACGATGCCCGGGCGAGGTGAATGAGCATATGGTGACAGCGAGGCAAGGCAGTTGTCGCATCACCTCCGCAATCTCCTTTTTCGTCGCCCGCTCCTTCCCACCCTCGCCCCCCCGCCCACCTCTACTCGAGTCTTGGGCTACTGCAGGTTTCTTTTTCCCTTTTTTGCTCACTCCCACTCTCTGGGTGCGCTCCGCCCTGCGGTCGAACTGGATCGACGGAGTTTCGGCCTCGCTCGCAGGACATGCTTTATGGCAGGCTGGGTGCGCGACGCGTTTTTGCGAGGGTCGTTTGCACATAGCGGCTCCCGTGAACCAGAAGTCGGCGACGCTGCCTGGCACATTCGGGGCAGGAGTTCTCCATCCATGTATTGGGCATGTGTCCAGCGCGTGAAGTAGTTAAGCAATTGCAAGATCCAATTTCGAATCTTCTCGGTAGTATGAAAGGCCTCCCGAAGGGGCGTCGCGAAGCCTTCATGGTTGACTCATGAGTTCGTCGCGAAAGCGGAAAGCTGCGAAGAGAAGAGCAGGAGCCGACCAAATATGCGTTCGTTTATTTGGGCGTTTGAGTGGCCCTCTTGGGGCACTCTTCGCTTGAGGCCTTCTTGAGGCACTCTTGGGCACCTGCATGGGCCGATCCAGGAGACTATCTGTGAAAAGGGAGGGATCCTGAAGAGCACCTGTTGATGCCCTTTTGGGGCGCCGTCAAGGTGAACTTTGAAGCCTTCGGGACCAGTGCAGAGGCTTTCTGATCCCGTATTGGGGCGCTCTTGGGCCATCTAGTGGCCATCATGAGGCCCCAGGCGCCACTCCGAAGCGAAAAGTACATGCGAGAAGACGAGACAAGGAATGCGAGAATACGAGAGGTGGGAAATGCGAGAGCCCTCAGTGGTTGAAAGATGTTGGCCTCTCGGGGACAGGCTTGGGCGGCCTTGTGACGTCTTAGAGGCGACGTTGGCCAGTAATGGAGCACATTGCACCATCTCAGAGACCATCCTGGAATACTCGGGGCCATCTTGAAGCTGTTTGGGGCCCAAACGGACCTTCTGCCACCTCGGCCCGAGGTGGCCACTGAGCCTCTCCAGGATGCCCCCGAGAAGCCAAACCTTTTGTGTGCTGGACAGAGTGGGAATGGTTTTGGTCTTACCGCTTTCCGGCATCTGGCAGGCTCTAAGGACTTCAGTGTGGCACCAAGATCGCCCAAAGGAAGCTCCAGAGGAGCACAGGATTGGCCCAAGACGGGATTGGATGTCCCCATGAGGACGCCAAAAGGGCCCCAAGTGAGCCTTGTGAAACTTCGAGATGGCGGCAAGGCAAACAGGACCACTTGTACTTGACGCCACATTGGTCGCAAGACGGCCCCAGGAGGACTCCTCATGCTACAAAACGCCCCGAGAGAGCCCCAAGAGAGCCCCCAAAAGGTTCAAACAGAGCCCCTAGCAGGGCCCCACGAGCACTCCCAAACAACCATAACCACAATCCTTAAATTGAAGCTCAACCCAGCAACGAGTTTCATCTATGCCTCATCCTTCTCTCCGCGGTTGGTCACCGCGGCAGATTTCCAGCCATATCCAGTCCACAGGGGAAGTGTTGCGACGTTGGGGGGAGGGAGGGGTAAACCCTTCCCGAGGGGGGTTGGAAGATCGGAACGCCAAGGGGGAGCGGAAGGGAGAGTGGAGGAGGAGGAGGAGGAGGAGGAGGAGGAGGAGGAGGAGGAGAAGAGGGAGGAGGAAGAGGAGGAGGAGGAGAAGGAGCAGGAGCCGGAGGAGGAGGAGGAGGAGGAGGAGGAGGAGGAGGAGGAGCAGGAGCCGGAGGAGCGGCCAGGAGAGGAGGAGTGCCCTGGCTGGCAGGGGGCTCCAGCGAGGGGTCGAGCCCGTTTAGTTCCCAAGTCCCTGGTCCACGGAAAAGGGGATCCTGGGGACGCCAGTTTTGTTCGGGCTGTGGTCGAGGGGACCGCGGCCAGTTCTAGTGGAGCCCCCCCGCCCCCTCCTCGTGCGCTCCCGTCTCTGTTTCGTGGGCACGAGATAGTTGAGAGGGCGGGGTATGTGGCTTGCACGGTGTGTGGGGGGCCATCGCAAAGTCTCGGGCCCAAAAGCTGCTGCGAGAGTGCGAGGGTCCGTCGAAGCCTCGCGTCGTGGCCCACAAGAGTCGACGACGCTACTTGGACCGAATTCTCGATCATAGAGATCCCAAAACAGGCCAGCCTGTTCGGGAGGAGGATTGATCGAACTGTTTAAGTTTCTCGGCGAGGTGGTGAGCGGTTGTGAGGCCCGCCCCCAGGAGCCCCCAGGACAAACGAGGAGGAGGAGGAGGAGGAGGAAAGGAAGAGGCGGAGGAGGAGGAGGAGGAGGAGGAGGAGGAGGAGGAGGGCGGGAGGGCGACGAGGCTCGCAGGCAGTGCTCGGTGCCCGGAGAGGGCCCCCCCCCGAAGAAAGGGGGGGTTGGGCATCGGCCGGCTGCCCTCGGGAGAGCAGCCGCGCAGAAGAGAGCGGCCGCCAGATGACGTTCTACATGTACCGGGCGCAAGGCACGGCTGGCGGGGACCCGACGGCACGGCAGTGGGGGGTGGTCCTCCTCCTCCTCCTCCTCTCCTCCTCCCTCCTCCTCCTCCTCCTCCTCCTCCTCCTTCTCTCCTCCTCCTCCTCCTCCTCCTCCTCCTCCTCCTCCTCCTCCTCCTCCTCCTCCTCCTCCTCCTTTGGGGGGGTCGAGGGCTACAGGGGAGCGGCCCCAAAGGGGCCCGACACGGCCTCTGGGCTCCCACCGCGGTCCATGAAGGGGCGGTAGTGTAGAAGTGCGGGGATCGAGGGTTGCAGGGGGGAGCGGCCTTCAAGGAGCCCTGCGCCCCTGCGCGGCCCCGAGGCTGCCACCGCGGTGCACGGAAGGTGCACGCTTCTCCACCCTGCGTTTCTTGCCCCCCCCCCCCCCCCTTTTTAGCGAGTCCCCTAGGGGCAGGGAGGACCCTTTATCCATGCGTCTCGCTGTCTTTTCTCCTCTCCACTGTCCTGTCATCTCTCCCAGTTCTCCCTCCTCCTCCTCATCCTCCTCCTCTTCCTCGGCAGCCATCTTCGCTCAAGATAATCGTTTCCCCTGGGAGCAGCGTGGATACTCCGCCCAGGGCGAGGACGTTCTCGCGAGCATCACCGTCGCGGCAGGCTTCTCACGCCGCCCAGCTGTGGCTTAGGCGACATAGGGGACATTGCGGCGGGCACGCCCTGCGAGCGTGCGGCGGCCAGGGAGCTCTGGCGCAGCGCTGCGCCCAGGGCGGGGACGCGCTCACGGGCACCACCGCTGTCGTGGCGCGGCTCGCCGCAGGGCCGCTGCGGTCGGCGGAGCGAGGACTTCTGGGGACGGAGGGAAGGCGGCCTGGCGGGCGGGAGGGGAGGAACGGGGGCGGAGCGGAGCACGGGGGCGGGGAGAAGGTGGGGGGCAGTGGGGGCGAAACGACCGACGCGTTCTGAGCAGAGGAGTCTTGCGGCGCGGAGCGCTGGCGGGAAACCTCGGAGGCACTCGCGGTCCCTCGTCGTCATCCTCCCCACCGTCATCACAATTGTCATCATAGCTGTTTGCCCAATCATTTGCAGAGTCGCAGGTTTTAGCTTTCACTTGATTTGCTCGCCCATGCCGGTGGTCGCCTGGCTCGATTGGATCGAGTTCCAGCTGCACGTGAGGAGGAAGGTGCACGTCGTTGTGGGCTCCAGTGCAGAGCCCACCAAATTCAAGATGAAGGTCGATTTTTCGGCCCCCGCTCGCGGGCAGCTGCGGACCGCGAGCACAAACACTCCAACGGGTTTTCGGAGGTCGCCATCCGAATCTCTCTGGGCACACACTTTGATGCACGACCTGGCCATCAACGTGCTGAGGCTCGTCACGAATCTGTTCCACCCAGCACCTGCTGGCGCAGCAGTTCGCCAAGGACCTGCTCATGCTGCGCATCTTGGTCGTGAATGTTCGGCGCCGGGTACCGTCTCTTCGTCTTCTTCTCCGGGTAATCCTGCTGAGAATTCCAAATTTGTTTTGGAAAATGGAAGGGTAAACGACGCAGTTCAGGTGGAGCAGCGGACGCCGCCATCTCGGACAACCAGCTTGTTGTCGCTCATCTGGCGGCAGCGGCTGCCTTGTCGGAGCATTGCCCGCGCATCGAGCAGATTTTTAGTGAAGTGTTCGCTCTTGTTGCTCCGTCTCAACCGCGCTGCGCCGGGTTGTCTACGCGTCTGTCGCGTGAAAGTGCGTCCTGCCCGAGGGGGACCGCTGTTCACGATCGGACTGCAGCGCTACTTGCTGTCGTCCAGGCCGAGATTGCTGAGCATGTGCGTTTGTATGGTTCAGCTGAAGCTCATTCCGCTCAGTTCTTATCGCAACAAGTAGTCAACAACGGTATGGATGCACTGTCGGCGCGTCGCCTTGCACACGAACAGGTTTCTTCCATGCATCTTCGCATTCGTGGTTGATCCTGTTCCCACTCCGCCTCTCCCGCCGCCTTCTCCTTCTCCTCTTCCTCCTCCTCATCCTCCTACTTCTCCATCTCCTCCTCCTCCGCATCCCCCTCGTCCTCCTAGACGTGCGTATCTGTCAGTTGCAACATCCCTCCTGTGCGTAATTTCTCAAGCGGTTACTTCTCAATTGAGCTCGTGTGGCGAAGACCTCGTGCAGTGGATCATCACCATCAGCATCATCAGCAGCAGAAGCACCACAATCATCCTCATCCTCATCCTCCTCCTCCTCATCATCATCATCATCATCATCATCAGCAGCAGCAGCAGCAGCAGCAGCTGCATCATCATCAGCATCATCAGCATCGGCAGCATCCGCAGCCATATTGGCTCAAGTTCAGGCGGCGTCCCTGGCCGCTTGAGCTTGGACGCAGCCAAAGGGAAGGCTCAGACTGCCTGGCGCAGGGCACCCCCTTTCCACTCACGACCCCTGTCGGAGACCAGCCCTGGTCGCGGCAGGCTCTACGCACTTTGGCACGCCAACAGCTGTCCGCTTCTTCAGTGATGGCGCCATCTCTTGAGGACATCGAGCGGCTTCTGAAGGAGCAGATGGAGGCCACGTCGCAGCAGATGAAGAGCACCACCGCTGCCATCGACAAGCTGACCTCTGCCGCGGCGGAGGCACAGGTCGCCTCCAACGAGCTCTCTCTGTCTCTTTTTTTCCCCTCTCTCTCTCAATTTGAATGCGGCGCAGTTGGCGACAGACGAGCGGTTTCAGGCTCTTGGGGACCAGATCCGTGCGCTCCAGGCCAGGGTCCAGGAGCGCGACGACGACCCCTACGAGGATGACATGGGACCAGGCCGCAGTCATGGTGGCGTTACTGAGAAGATCGGTGCTGTCGAGAAACGTTTGGCTGAACTTGCTGGAGCTCAGGCTGCTGCTTCTGCGGCAGTCTCTACCGCGGCTTCGGTGTACTCCAGTGACCGTCGAGGTGGTCGGAAGCGTCTCCGCGGCAGTGATGTCATCAACCTTGTCGACGAAGCTGACGGCAATGGTCGGACTAAGATATGGATTCGTGGTTTCCCGAGGAAGCTGCTCAAGACAGTTTTGGACGCACAGCTCAAGGAGATGAAGGAGCTCATGCCTACCACTTACCGCGATCGATGTCAGGCGTGGACTCGCAACATGCAGACGGCCTGCGGGATCAAGTTCGAGCCGGAACAAGGTGCGACCAATTTCTACGACCAGTTTAGGGTGGCTCTTCCGACTTGGCAGGGCACGAGATCGGAGACGTCGCATCAGGTTCGCGTTGGCCGTGACTTGCCGATCGAGGCTCGGACGCGGATCTTTGCCGTGAGTAAGTGCTGGACGGCACGCATGACTACGATCCAGAGCCAGAATTTGTGGAAGCCCGAGGCGAAGATCGGTCGCAGTCCCTTCCAGGGCGCGTGCTACCTCGCGTTACAAGATGAGCCCTGCGAAGTTGTGAAGTGCGTCGGCGGGTTAGCCTGGACTTTCACCTTCGAGCCGCAGTTCCAGACCCTCGCGGAGCTCGGCATCTCCCAGCAGGTTGCCGAGATGATTTCAGGATTGGCGCAGGGCCTCCTCAGTCAGTCATCGTGAAGGTCTCCTGCGCTGCATACCTGCGTAGATGGAGTGAACGCTAATTCGACAGCTACACCCACATGCTCGACGGGCGAAGGCGAATTCGGCGGCGCCCCTGAGATGCACGACCTTGTCTTTGCTCCTCCTCTGAAGCAGCGTAGGCTGCCAGGCAGCCGTAGGCGGCGGAGGTCGCCTCCCTCTTCCTCGTCCTTGTCCTCGTCGTCGCCCTCCTCCTCCTCCTCCTCCTCCTCCTCCTCCTCCTCCTCCTCCTCCTCCTCCTCCTCCTCCTCCTCCTCCTCCTCCTCCTCTTCTTCCTCCCATGTGCATTGTCGGTCAAGGTGCCTGCGGCCTTTTTTGTTCTCGCAAGCGCATCATTCGGTCTCTTGGAATGCAGGAACTTGTTCGGTGCAGTCTCGTGATCAGAGTCACGGCAGAATCGTGCCCAGGTCAAAGCCAGAGGACTGCACCAGCGCAATGATGTTGTATTCTTGCAGGAAACTCACGGCATTGATTCTGACTTGTCGAGTCTCGAGCGTGACTGCCACTATTTCGTTCACTTCGGCTCCTTCTTGCCTTCTCGCGCTGGCGGCGTTGCCCACCTATCCGGAAGTCTCTTGCTGAGCTGTTTCACGGACAGCCGGGTCGGCTGGTTTTTGACCGAGGCAGGGTGTTTTTGTGCGATTTCTCTCTCTCTCTCTCTCTTTCTCTTTCTCTCTCTCTCTCTCTTTCTCTTTCTCTCTCTCTCTCTCTCGCGTTCCATGGTCCAGCTGGCAGCCCCCAGCTGATCAGTGCGCATATCGAGACGCAGCGGGAACACATCTTGAAGTTGGCGCTTCTGTGGTAGATTCAAAGGCGCACCTGAAAACTGAAATCTGCCGCTGTGTTCACTGCCTGGGGCTGGCAATTTTTGGGGCCGGGCGAACGTTGAGCTTCTTCGGTTTACGGGGGAGCGCCAAAGGTTTCGGCTGCTTCTAGGCTAGGTGATGTATTCGACAGTTGTTTCCTCGGCTTGCAGAAATCAAGCAGGATGATTTTACCCGCGGGCGCGAAGTCCATGAAACTGTCGCCAGCGTTGGGCGGCTTGCTATGTGGCGCACTAGCTTACCCAGCTCTGTCCCGTCTGATCTAGCCCCCCGCAGCTCTGCACAGGGACTTGCTCGTGATCGGCGGGGGGGGGGGGCATCCATGTGGTTTTGCAGTTTTCTCTTGTTTGGTCGGACGTCCAGGAGCTATCCATAATGGGTTGCGGGACACCCTGAGTCCGAGGTTCTGTTCAACGAGGCTTCTGATGATCCCAGGGAGCGCATCTTGGAACTAAGGAAGTGCATGCATGCGGCTAATGATCGGCTACTCGGGCGAATCTTTAGGTATGGCCCAGCATCCGACAGGCAGAAGGTCGCTGTCTGTCTCAAGCTCACGCGCGCGACCCAGCAGGCGAACCTCGCTCTAGTGGGGAGGTGTTTGCACTCTCTTCCAGTCTTGCTTCAGTTT